AGAAAGAAAGAAAGAAAGAAAGAAAGAAAGAAAGAAAGAAAGAAAGAAAGAAAGAAAGAAAGAAGAGGAAAGAGGGAGGGCAGGAGAAGGAGAGTAGGGAAGAGGGAAGGAGAGAGGTATTTTGATATTTTGAGAGAAGGGCTAAGTAGTGAGATTTCTTTATTTGTGGGCTCTGGATAGAGAGCCTGGGAGCAAAGAGATAACATTCTTTCTCCTCTACAGAGACCAGTCTTCCTCCTGCCACGTGTGAGGGGCCAGCCTGGTGCCATATCAGAGGTCCTGAGTTCAGTCCCTGCCATGCTCCCCACAGAAAGGTTATGCTGTATTTCATCATTTTTAGCCACTTTTGTTTCCCTGTTCAAGAAGAATGTGGTGGGAATCGGTATGAGCTCAGCTCTTTACCTCCAAGAAGCCTTTCAAACATTTTCCCCCAGGGACCAGGTGGTCCCCACCCTGCAGGAAGGCCTAGAGCTGAGTTTCCCGGGTCAGCAGGAGCAGCTGATGACAGAGGGGTGGGGATGGGGCTGAATGGGAGTCAGGGATATCAGCTTGGCCACCAGGGGAGGTCAGCACCCCTGGGCGAAAGATATCAGTCAACCAAGACCTGTTTTACAATCCGAGATTCCAGCATTTTCTAGGTGCTGGGCTGGGTGCTTTACACGCTTTCCTGGAGAAATATCCCTCCCAGTCAGCAAGGGAGAAAGCGATGCAGATGGAAGTTAGAAATTTGGCCCTGGCCCAACTAGTGCTGAACAGGATCAAGAGGTAAACCCAGGACCCTAAAGCCTTGCCCTCAAGTTTAATTTCACCATTTGGGGTAGGTGGGTGGAGAGGTGGCTGCTCTTCCAGAGGACCTGGGTTTGATTCCCAGCACCCACAGGGTAGCTCACAATTATCTGAGGCTGCAGTTCCGGGAATCAAATGCCCCTCTTTGGGCCTCCAGGGACACTACACATATGTGGTGCACAAAAATGCAGGCAAAACATTCACATGCATAAAATAAAGATACATAAACTGGCTGGTATAATGGTGCATGTCTTTAATCCCAGCCTTGTCTACAGGCCAGTCATTAACCCTGTGTGAGTTCAAGGTCAGCCTGGTTTATATAGTCAGTTCCAGGGCAGCCAGAGCTACATAGTAGAGAGATCCTGTCTCAAGAACAAAACAAAACAAAAAATAAGTTAATCTCTTAAAAAAAAAATTATTAGAAAAAACAAAAAACACAATTTGAAACCCAGCATGGTGGCATGTATCTGTAGTCTCAGCCACTTTGGAAGTTGAAGCAGGAGGATTGCTCAAAGAAGAAGTTTGAAGCCAGAATAGACAACAGGAAGACCTCCATCTCAAATCAACAAACATGAGTGCATGCTTCAGCAGCACATGTAGTAAAACTGGGAAAATACACGGAAGATTAACAAGGGCCCTTCGCAAGAACAGCACAAAAATGCATGAAGGATTGTAAAACAAATAAACGTGAATTAACTCTGCCCCCAAGACCAGTTAAGTGGGCTTTTATCTCTCTAGGTCCTAAAACCAATGGCTGTCAATTGCCTCGTAGGCACTGACTTCCAACCCCCACCCCCACCCCTGACAGTGACAGGGCCTGGCTTATGGCAGATGTAACATGCCCCAGCAAAGAGAAAGCCCATCAGACTTAGAGGCAAGAGGCTGAGCGAGAACCTGTCCTGTCATCGCAGAGGGTCTTGCTGCACTAAGAGTGGCAGCCGGCCTGGAAATGGCACAGGAGTAGATGGAGGAAGAGGAGCGGCAAGGAAGAGCTGCCCCAGTGGTGTCTGTGGAATTTAGGGCGAGGCCCGGGCGAGAACCTCCAAGTCAGGTGAGGTACAGGTGAGACTTGGTCAGCAAGGCAGCTATGGCCATTAGAGATACAAGAAAAGGCAGGGAATTCACTTGCAAGGATAAAAGCCTGGGAGCCTGGGTGTGGCTGGGAGGGGCTCTGGGCCTCCTGCTAGCAATTTTTACGATTTCTTTCCCAAGCACCGGTGCATGGTGTGAATTTTGAGGCCTCGGGCTGGTCTCCTCAGTGCTCCTTCGTTTCTAAGCTGGAACCAGTTCCTCCCCAGCGCCACGTGACCTTCCTCAACTCAGCCTGTATGTCCCAGCAGCTTCTGTGAACCAGGCAGGGTGCTGAGTGGTCTTCATCGTGGCAATGGAAAGCAAACAGGACAGCAAGGAAGACAGAAAAGGGCAGTACGGCTGGGACAGTGAAACCATGAGGCTGCAGGGACCAGGTCAGAAGTTCAGGCAGAGAAACCTGTAGGACATGGAGAAGTTAGGGGTGCGACTTCATTCAGACAAGGCTGTGACAGGACTTGGAGGCTCTGTTGTCAGGGGCCAGATGGTGTTAACAGCGAGATAATATCTGCCCCTCTGCTTTCACCCTGTGTCTGCTTCCTTGGTCTTAAAACTCTGGGTCAGACCCCTGCTCATCTCCGTCAGCAAGTTATTCACTCGGAGTGTCCGTCTAAACACTAGCGACACAAGGATGAGTTGCCCTGTAGTTACCTAGATAAGAATAACAGGAGGTTTTGCCGTCTCGGCATCCTCCTCCAGACCCCCGGAGTAGCGCCTAGGAGTCTCCAGTCACTGCCCTAAATCTGGATTC